CACCTTTAGCTAAGGCTGATTTTACCGACTTGAGTTAGGGAAATTCTTATCCATGCAAGATTCTAACCGCGTTGTCTCCAGTGAATAACAGGAAAAAACGGCTAAACGTTGAATGTTTCATAAGAAGCTCTTTACTATGCGATCCCAAAAACTTGCTTATTACGTTTTCCACGATTCTGAGAGTATTTGGCTGAGCAGATTGAGAATCAGTTTGACTTTTCCAGGCTTTAGAGAAGGCAGACGTTGCGAAATGTCAGCCATTGCAGCTGCCTATATTGTGTTTACTGAATGAATCGTCCGTTAGCAACCTCGTGGTTCGTTGAATAAGAAGACTTTAGTAAATGCTGTATTGCAAGATCAGTTCACTTACCTCTATGGGCGCGTAGCTTTTTCAGATAGTCAACGGTCATTTCAAGTATGTCAGCTTTCTCCCATTTCGCATGCCCCGATGACTGAAATAGATTATTTTACTGGTGACTCAACATTGATAAATAAGACAGCGTCACTTTCTTCAGACACAATAAATGCCTATGAATTTGTGGATCGCACTGCCAAACCGCCTATACAGGACGCCTGAGGCGCACTATCGTCATCCACTTTTCGCCTTTCAGGGACAAGATCTTTCCGTTTTCTTCAAACTTTCATTGGTCATTAGATAGCTTGAATCTCGGCTATCCCATTACTCTTCTTGTTTACTGAATAGATTTGTGGTCATCTGTAATAGGAAAAATAAAATTAAGTTTTGTTCTCAGCGCGCAGTTTTTGCTCGGCTGAACCTGTGATCGGCTGTGTGAATGGGATTTCGCTACATTTGCAACAAAAGGCACCAAGGCGGCTAGGTTTTGTGGCGGTCTTGTATCACATTCCTATTAATTATTTCTTAACATGGATGATTCTAGAGCAAGATTTAGGTTTTTTGAAGGTCTTCATGGAGCTCTGGAAGAGAAAGAAGATGATTACGTCTGCACTCTTAGGCTAACGATATAGAACGTTTTTGTCGATTCTCCACACAGACATTCTCCATCATTAACTTGTTGCTGTTCTTGCTATTACCGCCGTACATAGTGGCAACGCAATTTGTTTGCCTGCTTACGAAATGACAATGTGTCAGTTAAAAGATAATCAAAAACGGCTCAGTACACATCGGTTTCGCTCCCCAGTTTAGACTTTTCTTTATAATCTGGCACCCCTTCCGAGCAAGTAATTTCCGTGCTGAGTATAGATCCAGTTATAGAGTTCCTCAAAGAGTAAGCGGAAAAAAAACCACCAATGGGATATGAACCTTCACAGCAATCTTGTATTTACAACTTTTGAGGTGTATGATGTATTAATGCTTGAAAAATGGCGTCTTATAGGAACTGGAGAGTTGCAAGAAATTTATCGAAAATTTTCTCAAAATCTGAAATGGATGATGCTATAGTAGTTGCTATTTCTTAAATGCGTTAATTTCTAGAGTAGCCTTAAGAAATAACTGCTCCCTAGGAATCGCTACGAAAACATAGTTTGCAGGTGCTCGTGAACGCCAGGTCATAGATACGTGCCTTGCCAGAAGATTGGGCAAATTAAAATTATAGAACAATCGAAAAAATCAGTAGCAAGTGTGTACTATAACTGTGACCGTAAGACGCACACTTGATATGCGCGCTTAGTTAGTGAACGATTCCGGTGGCATACACTGCGCTTAGAAGAAATACTAGAACCCGTTCAGAGATAATACTAACTTTACAGCGACGACAGTGATCTGCCAGAAGAACAGAAAGCTTCGGAGTAGACAAAAAAATTTCATCCGCATGGCGAAAAAATTCCAAAAGTATCTCATGATTCCAGATGATGTGTAACAGTTTTGAAATTGGGGCAATTCTTTGTGAAAGAAGACTTCATTTCGAAATTCCAGAATGCATATGTGTTGATCAATTTCGTGTGGTCTTGAAATTCGTGGCTTCACTAACGAATCACTTACGGCACACCGTATATTAGAGCAAAACCAGTCAATTTTACAACGCACACATTACAATTCAAATGCAGAAAAAACGAATTGCAAAATTAAAGCACACGAAGTTTTCAGTTTCCATAGATGGGTGATTTTGTTTGATTGTCAGCAATCGCGTCACGATTGGCTCCAACGCCGGAACGATCGTCAACTCTCGAAGACGGTACTTCCGATGCAGAATAATTTATGCTGTTTGATTTTGTTTCGGCGTACTAGATGTTAGATGACTCAAAGGGAAAATTAACTATTTAATGGCATCGTATACAATCGCAGACGAACTGATTTCATTGCAACACCACGCAATTTACTGACTTGCTGATCAACGATTCACCAGCAAAAATGGCGCTAAGCGTGAAAATTCAAATTTTTCAAAGAAGACTGCTTCACTTGATGCTCTCGATAATTATAGAGAACGCATAGATAGCGTAATTTTGTTGATTCGAAGTGGTGAGTAGTGAAGTTTAGTCATCACATTGTAGTCAGCAGAGGTATTGTTCTGAAGGAAATTTGTTCTTCTCTCTCACGATATAATAAGCTGTGAAGCTTGAAGATTCTAAAATACTTATTATCATGGTACTCACGCGAATGAATCGTGAATGATAAGAGAATTCATGTATGCGTTTATTAACAAGTTAATCTATTGAAAATCCGACAAATAGAAAAGAGATCTGTAGCTTATTTGTTCCCGCCTATTTTTTTTTTTCGTGTTACTGCACGAGTGGAATACAACACAAGAATGCTATGATACGAGCGACTTAGAACGACATGTGGGCTTCAAAGACGTCATTGGTTTCTTGATGGAAGAAAAATTCATATACGTGTTCACTGTACTACCACGGTTCCTGCAAGTCCTTGCTCTCAATCATGTTCTATCCCATTCCGCTCCATACAGAGAAATTTCGGTCCAAGCGCCAGTCAAATGCTCTTTGAATGTGCTAGGCGATGTGCTTCTTCTTCTGACCCAAAACTTCTTTTTCTCTTTCTTTCTTTTTAAAGAACTGAACAATGAAAAAGTAAGTTTGCAAACCCCATGAGCTCGACCTTATTCGGGTTCCACGGACGTTATACACTCAAACGAGCGCACATAGATATTGCACTCCATTGGAATGCCCGTTTTCGACGAGCAGAACGACTCAAGCTGATCTTTGCCATCAGCATTCGGCCAAACTCAACTATGACTCTGAGCCTTACTCTTCGCTAATATTCTCAAATAAAAACCACTTATCAAAAAGTAGAATGTTAAGTTCTTCTCTGGTTAGAAAGAAAATCTCTTCCGCTGCATGCCAGTTTTCTTGATCATCCATTCTTTCGTACATGCGTTTTTCTACAAATCAGATAAGCATGATCTCTTTACCGAGTTCGGTTCGATTAGCCAAAATTTAAGTTTATTTGGCTAGTAAAAGCTTTTTTTGTTTATATGACGCATCCCAAAACCGTTCAGTGGCTTTCGCCTCTTCAGAAAGCAAACATCAGCACATTTTATGAATGATGTTTTTATTCACTTTCCGCAAGAAGTAAGCCACGAGCTACTGGGCAACTTTTGTCTAAGAATAGGCTTACTCATAGCTGAGAATCTGGATGATAATGTTGAGTTTGTCTTCTGCTAAAATGCTCCTGCTTAAAAACTATTGTTGTGGTTTATTCCTCATGGCGACAACGAATTCAGAGTGAATAGAAGCAATGGTATAAGATAGACAAAAGGAAACAAAACTCAATCAATGATGCTAAGACTCCAGTAGTATCCAAATGGCTTATATCTATTTGGCATATTTCCAAGGTATCATAGAATAGTGGATTGAGATGAACTTGAGCGAAATGTGAGACCCATTCATTGATCGTCTTTCTATTTCACATCATTTTCTACGTATTGATGGCATCCTCCACCGAAGTCGATGCAAGCAGAAAGTTGTGTTACAATAGCAGATGTAGGACACACAAAAACGTCCGATAGTTTGACGATTATCGAAAACTCACCGCGTGTTTATCACAGATGAGAATCTCTTTAAGTTCGCTCAAACATTGATTGATCCGTGCACGACGTTTCTTTTCCATCATCGGCTTGTTTGTCTAAATGAATCGATGTACATCGATATAGAACCATCTTGATCATCACTCTTGAATTTCTTATTTTCTATCCATTTGTTCTAGCTCATGTAGATGTTTTGTAGATGTAGAGCTCATGTTTGCTGAAGAACTCTGTTTTGGATGTAATATTCTAAGTTCAACAACATCAATCCGTCAGTGATCTCATTTCACGAAACTGACATGTACAATGGTAATTGTGTAGTAGAGCTTATAGCTATTGAACGTCTCCAAGAAGGAAACTCCAAACGTAGGGATCCTATTGGTATTTCGGGGACCTGCCGATACAAATAAATTCCTTATCCATAACTGACTAGCAAAAATTTTGAAGATGACATCATATAGTGAAGAATGTCAATACTACAACTCACCTTTTTCACATGTGCACCTCTTTCGTCGCTAGAAAAACTCTCGACATCAGAATACATTCTGAAAGAGAAGTTTCTGGACAAAACAGAAAAAATTAGGCAACTCAAGCGTAACTATGAGTGTCATTCGAATCAGTAGAAAGTAAGATTTGTATCGAAACTGCCAGAGAATTATCAGTAAGAAAGGACTGAAAAGCAGATGGCGAAGAGGTAGTTATTATCAAAATCCAATGATTTCGCACAACTTCTTAGATCGATCTTTTGATCTGAGCCACACACACTCTTCACCAATGAAAAACTCGGTGCCGTTGGTCTACATAATTTCTGGTAAACCAGAGAACAACAAAACTGATTATATGAAAGGAGCTGTTCATCATGAGATTCAATGTTTATGTGCTGAGCTCCTTGTGCTTTGATTATGAAAGTCTTTGACTGAATGAATTACATGTAAATTTGACTCTTCTAAGGGATTCCATGTTATTAGTATACCCAATATGTGGAGTGCTGTGCAAAAACGTTTGCGTCAGTCGGGATTCAACCCAGATCTCCGGCTGACGCACGCGTCGGTAGTGCAATGGTTAGCATACGCTCCCGGAAAGAGTGAGATCTGGGTTTATATCCCGCCTGAAGCAGACGTTTTTGCACAGCACTTCACATATTGGGTATACTAATAACATCATACCACTGCAAGTGGCAGTCAAAATAGACAGAATTTAGACTGATTCCATGTTAATTTGACTCTTCAAGACTTTGAAGAAGGCGTGTTCTCCGAAACATTGGCCATCATATTATTATTGTGCTGTATTCCTATTGCTAATCAGTAAATGCTACTATTATGAACTTTGGATCTGCTCACGACGAAAAAAACACCAACCCAATTTGTAATTAGCGTGGTCTGTTTTTATTTCAACTATGCTTAATGATGGCAAGATAGTAGTAGCTTGTAGGAGTTCTGTCATATTGCCTAAAAAAGTGATTACCACATTTGTATTCTGTGCAAATTCAACCACATCAGAATGCTCGTATTCTTGGGCATCGAACAAATCATCATTTATCTACACAGCCTTCAGATGGAATTGCCCATGGAAAAAAGTCGTTGTGTGCTCACTTCCACTGCAAATTGGGTGTCATTGCTTCTGAGGCTCATAGACAAATTTCAAGGCGTGTAGTGAAGAAATTGCTGGATATGTGTAAGAAGTGTATTGATGTGGAAGAAGACTACTTCGAGTATTAAATTGCCTTTTGTTTGAGCTTAAGTTGTGTACAATAAATGTTTCTATGCATGAGAAACGACAGAACTTTTCCTGCAACCTATACTGTTTCTGTTCAGATTGAATTCCACTGCTGAATTAGTCGAGATTTTAGTTTTCTAGAGGCAGTGTTCGTAGGGTTGTAACTATATGCGTCCCTAAGTAACAGCCAACCGTCGACGGTCTGGCGGGGCAGCCGCTATCAGCATTGAACCCACTTGTGTTGACAGACATTGGATCGTTTTGCACAGCACGGTACTGCAATGGTTAGCATACGCTCCCGGAAAGTGAGATCTGGGTTTTAATCCCAGCTGACGCAAACGTTTTTGCACAACACTCCACATATTGGGTATATTATAACATCATACCACTGCAAGTGGCAGTCAAAATAAAAAGAATTTAGAAATTGTTTGTGTTCCACCAGTTCTTCAAGAGCATCAACCACATTGAGCGATTTTCTTACGGACGACGAATAGCGCGAGATGATCGATGAAACATATAAAACAGCGTGACAAACCATCTATAAGTAACGACTGTGTTAATTTTGATCACTGTCGCGACTACTCAGCTTCTTCAGCTTTCGTCAGCGTGATGCTCTGTGGAGCATCGTTGACAATGGCTAAAAACACCTGGATGATTATCCGTGATGAGACTGCGACAGTAGTGGTGAAGTCAAATAATTGTTCTTGATATTTAGCGCCTCGACCACTTTCCTCTTCTTAAAGCAGTTTTATTTTCTAAGGAGTGAGACCACGCAATCTGTTCGCAGACAATCTTTTCACATACGATAAAAAATTAAGCTTATCAATTCTATAGAGTTAAAAAGCCACTTATGGGTGACGTCGTCTTCTCGATTTTGGACGTTACTGAGCTCATCTATTACATTTCGTAGACAAGGTAGCTTCATTGCTAATATTGAGTTAAATTGAAAAAAATCGTTCTTTTCATTTGTTAGCCTAAAATATTTCTCTTACGATATCCTTCAAAGGCTTCTCAAAGAATTAACTCAAAATGGTGTAAAAAAGCGATAACACAAAAGTTATCGTTGATGCGAAGCAAATGTCAAGTAAGTAAACCTTAGATGGCATGAACGCAAATTTCTACTCAAGTTGTAAAGTAATTATTCAGTGAAAATCAATGCTGTATCAATGTTCAGTACAATTAAAATGGTTATAGTGTCTACTACAGACACAACGAAAAGCGAATAAAGATGTATGACAGTTAAGAAATGGATGACATCTTTTCGAGAAGGCGATCTCAGCTTTTTACAAGATTTGAGCCGGATTCTTCTTCCTTAAGGTTTCCCTGAAGACGCAAATTCCATATTTTTCTCCCAAAATAAGATCCATGCTTCTCAATTGTCATACCAACTTTTTTAAGTAATTTTTTATACCTTTGAATCTTTTTCATACAAGTTTACCACTTTTTTTCCAAGATGAGGACAAAAGACGCAAGTGATTACTAGTTATCATTATGAAGGAACTTCAATCATCACAAAAAACGCGCTATTGCAGCTCAGTTTCTCTTTATTCATAATTTTATTATGTTCTTCTTCTGTGGTGTACTCCGCTGCATAAACTGAATCATGAACAATGAAAATTATTTTTCCAGAAATCTTCCATGATTAACTCGAAGGCTAACGTGCGGTTCAGGAAAAGGTTTGGGCTTGAACATTGAAGTCTTTGCACAGGAAAACGCGATTCATCATTTACTTCTATAAATCATCAAGAAAAGAATGTAAATAGAAGTTCGAGAAAATTCAGAAACTGCCCAGGTTTCTGGAAAATCCAAAATTACAGCTATTCATTGCATAGCGCTCAAGCTTGAGGCCACAGAGATTGATTCAGAAATGGAAAGAAACATGAAAAAAAAAACATTGTTATTTGCTAGCATCACAGTGAGGTGGTGAGGCTTTCTAGAAAGCAATGTCTTCAAAGGTAAAAGTTTTCAATCTCTAGTTCATGTCAATACTTCGGAAAATGGATCAATTCTAATCATTTCAAAGTTTCATAAGCTTATCCATTTTAGTGTGATCTGCTGTATACCGTAATCTGTCGATGATACACGTCCTCTGTCGGCCGCCGCTGATTTCACACGAAGAGAGGACGATTCCTTATCGCTACGAGCAGTAATCTTTCATGCAACCGACTCTCCATTCAAAACAAAATCACGCCATTACCGTATCCAGCAATTGTCAAACCTTAGTGAGCTCGTAAAAAATTAAATTCGAATATACGCACATCATTGCTCTCCCGAGAGATTATGAGAATGTGAATAGAAAGAAGAGAAAATTTTTGAAAGGCAGCGAGGAGAGGACTGCAGAAAATTGATAGCTCGTGTTTTTTTCTTCTGATTTCTGAAAGTTCCAAGAGTAACTCTTTTGAGAGTAAGGCAAATTTTTTGGCGCTCATGGTAACTTTGATTATTGGAAAATGAGGACTGGTGGCCTAGATAAGTTTCCTAAGCTTCGGTTCTAAGGCACTGGCTTTCCGTGAGCAATAAGGGCTTATGAAATTAAAGCATATTAGCTAATTTTTTGGGAAGAATATTTGAAGATAGATTGCATCCTGTGTTTGAACGACAAATATTGTGTAAAGCAAATAGCAGAAAAAACGAGTATGTTATGAGATCAATGACTTATCTTATTTCCAATGAAGATAATAAAGGAACTAGTGCAAATTTTTTTGAAATTTTTCAAAAGAAAAAAATTGATTCGCTATGATTTTACTTCCCAAGAGATAGACTTAATTTACTGTTCTGAGCATCATCTCGTGGAGATGTTTGAATGCTTCGAATATTGTCATAATTAACAAATAAACATGCCCGATTTTAAGTGTCGCGAATCTTCTAGTTCAATTAAGATGAATAAATTCGATCGGACGAATGAAGAATGTGAATTTCGACTGGTACGACGCCTCACATGCACTCATGGAACAGGATTGAATCACGGAACAACGACATGTGAAACGGAATTCTGATTGACTAAATTCTTTGCCGTGAATTAAACAACCTTCTAAAAGTGGTCGGTTTTTTCGAAATTTTATGATAAAGTGTGTAATACAGCGAAAAAGTTTCTTGTGGAAATGGATTTTACAATATTGGCGCCTTGCCCATCACTGATAAATTATTTACAACGGTATAAGTTCCAAGAAAAGGATTAGATCACTTTGGAAGAACGCCACTAACATGAAGATCAACACCTGATGCATGTCGTAGCTATGTAGTAACAATCGTCAGACGCTGTACATCTTCTCCACAATAAAATCTGTTACGAAGAGAAGTACTAACAGTTGTAGGAATTCGAAATAATCAATTGAAAAAGATACGAATTGTAGTAAAGGTATGATTTGGTTGTGACAATGTAATTATCTTCATTGTAGAAAAGATGCCTTCAGTGAGTGGTTATAGTTGCTTATATCTTGACAAGATGATGTCCATAGTAACAATGTAGAAAGAGGTGAGATTTCAGAATTGAAGAGCAGAAAAGTCTTTAGGTTATTCAAAAACGAGTGGTCAGAAGGACTATGATTTATAGCACAGGTGTCCGCTCTGAGTAAACCAAAAGAAGCTCATGAATAATACCGTGGCGATTCATGTCACGTTACTTTTACCAATTTGATATGATTAACTGTTTTTTATGGAAGTAAATAAGATGTGAATAATTTCTACTAGGTGTATACGTACTGTCTCATAACAATCTAGCATTGCTAAGTGTGGGAGTGCCCACTCGACGTTCCCAGACCCATTCAGAAATAATTAGGGGATTAGCGTTGATGTATGCTGATCAACTTAACGTTGGCGGTATGCATAGGTAGAGCGCGGCCTCTTCGTTCACTCGAGTACAGCCTTCCGGTAGCACACAAACGGTGAGTAACGAGTAAATATTAGCACTAACCACGACCGCCAGGTCACAAGCGTCGAAGAAAAACAGCATGGCAAACACTATGTGATCGTGCCACCGCCTAATGTCAACGGACTTGATCCATAAATGTTTGACAAAGGGGTCCCGAATGAAGGTGAATTCCTCTGAGGTACTCTCAGAAAGCACGCTAGGGATGGATGTTGAGGCAACACTGATGATTTTGGAAAACAGTGAATGACGTGCATTGTTGTCAGCATAACGTTAAAGCTCAAAAAGATCCTGTACAGAAAGGTTATCTTCTCAGGTCAGTTAATAGCTATTCGCTTATCATTGCTGTTAACAAGAATAGTAAGTTGAATCGAAATATAGCAAATAAAGCCACATTAAGAGCTATTTGCTCAGTTTTTAGTAACATAACAAGCCATGATGATTCAAATGCTGTCAGAACCAACTCTGTTTTCCAGGTCTTCGTCTATTTCTCAGCATTTTTTTTTTGGTATAGCGTGGCGGCGTGCACGTA